AAAAAAAATAACTCAAAAACTGTTGGAAACATTAAGAAGGAAGCAATTAAAGCGCGCGTTATTGACGTGTGAATGGCGTGGGCATCCAGTTACAAAAAGTTGTTATTGGATATCTGTAATTAGACACCCACGTAATCGCGCACCCATTACGTGACGCGGATTAGGCTCTCGGAGAACCAACCTCGATCGAGAATTCTGTTATAGATAGGATTAAACGTGCACTCGTTCTCTAACCGTCTTTGGTTATCATCTTGGAAACAGACGCTGATTAAAGAGGAGATGGACCTATGTAAGGTGGTATTTAGTAAAAGGACGAGGTTAGTATTTCAGCTGCACGTGCACGGACCCACAGACTTCTTTCCATATACAGTAATGCCGTTCCTAGGTTTCTTTCTGCTGTCAATTTCAGTCTAAGGGAAAAGCATCACACACGTCAGACTTTGTGGCTATAAGAATCGTAAAGATGGTAACTTGCTTTCACTTTGAGTTAGCTCCAATTCGCACATCAGCCGACACAGGTTTTTTCCGCGGGGTTTACACCGTTTAGATCACCCAAACAGTTAGTTACGTACTCCGATCCTTCCCACAACGCCGAGAATCTGCGCGCTATCAAACAGGTCTGGAGCATAAGGGGCGGTTTTTTATCTACAGTAAATCTGTTTCAACATTCAATGTTTACATGTACTTCGACTTGCAGCTGCGTTTATTTAACCCAAAGGGAACAGCTAAGAGGTGCTCGAAGGAATTCCCAACCTCGTTCCCAGGGCTTTTCCCTTCCAACGTCTAGGGGAAGAGCCCTGGGAACGAGGTGGTTCCGGGATAGTGGCCAGGGTCCTTGATGACAGGTCAGAGCCTAAAGGTGTAAAACCAGAGGGATCATGGAGTGGATCAAAAGAGTGCTTTTTGCAGCTAAAAACTGGTCATTTTCTTTGCAGAAAAGCCCAACAAGATGAAATGCGTGCTGTCAAGGAGCTGGCTATAGCCAGCCCGATATTAACTTGAAGCAAGGTGACGTGTGCATGCTTTGCAGTTGCAAGTTTGACTGGCATTGATTGATTGAAAAAGCAGTATGGTTCATTTTCATATTTCATATTTGCAAATGGGGGTAATTGGCAAATGTCCAAAGTGAAATCAAAACACTCGTCCCTGTAGTGGCTGAAGACATTACTTAGGAAGCTCGTCAAATGAATATTTTTCTAGAAAGTGATAATCTTTCATCATCTTTGTTACGCGCTCTATTTGTTCATTGGTCCAAAGTACCTTATCCCTCGTCACCGAAGGAGCTCTCAAAACCTCTCGACATTTTTCCACGTAATTTTTAGGGCAGGACACTCCCAAGTGATCACATAATTTCCGCAGGGTTTCTTTGGGTCTTAGCAGCATTTCGTGCGCTGGAATATCAATGACTGCATCTTTGCAGTGTAATTTGACGAATTGGGTAGCATCTGCCAACTCAAAGTAGCGCTCAATGGCCCGGTCCAGTTCTTCCTTGTTTTCTATCTGTTGGCCAAAAGAAAACAGGGAAGCAATGCATTAATTTGTGTACATTTTCAACGTCCGTGGTACATGCGAGAGTTAAAGGACATAAATGAAATATAGAGATCATTAAATACATTATAACGTTACCATACGAACAAAGGATCCTGTGAGCATCTCATGGAACAGAGACGTTTCGAATGCAATTTTATGAACCGAAAGTCTTTGAGTGTATTCTATTTTCAAACGCCGAGCTAACTATTGTCAGTAACCCGAGTAACAGTCAATAGATTTGAGACAAAGCTATATCCCTACGGTGTGGAGCAAACAGTGCTCCACTTCAGTGCATTGTGCGTAATTTTATTTCGATTGTATACTCGATTAAATCAGCCTTTCTCACTTTATGAAGGGAAAAGCCTACAGCCACTTACCGTTTGCTCAGCCTGACTGCTAACACCCGATAAGGCCAGTTTGGGAGAATGTAAAATGCAGTACAGCTAGCTCGAATTGACATAAATTTTCCAGTTCTCCCAAACTTTCTCTAGTGTTTGCATCCAACTATTTAAACATGACCAGCAATCCGTATTCTCATTAAATTCTTCATGTTCTAAGGTTCCAGCGCGTTTGTTTTGTTGTCTCCACGATTTCATAAACACATTAATTAACCTCGTCATCATCTAAGTTCGAGTGAACGCGCGAGTGAAATACATGTCTTGTTGCCCCGTAGGGACTCCCATATAAAAAGGTCGAGGATGCTCCTCGTCTCGCTTAGGGGTATAAATCAAGGATTCTGATCTCGCTTAGGGTGTAGTCGAAGAAAAAATTATAAAAAAAAAAACACTCTTATTTCCGTTTTTAGGCTCGATTTCCGCCGGTCTCGCTAGTCCGGTGTACCAGCGCGGGCTCCTCTCCTGAACAGCGGCTGGAAATCGAAACTATCTTTTAAAGGTCAAATAAAGCTCGAGACACGCGCAGATTGGTCTCCGTTAGGACTTTAATTCAGAACTTCCGAGGAGCATCCCCGACCTTTTTATATAGGAATCTCCTCCTGGCCCTCACTTTTAATCCACCCCCTCTTACAGCGTCACCTGACTCTACAGCATGAAGCATCATGGTTGCTATGTTATCAAAGGGATTCCTGATGACGTGTATTAATTTGATTGGTACTTGGATGACTTCACGGATTTCGTCTAGAATACTCATCTTGTCGGTCAATGCCAGTGCAGTATCCTTCCCTTTCCTGTCACCGATAACCTTGAAAATCGATTGAAAAGAAAGTGATTATACAAATTTTAGATGTCAACGGGACTGAGACGAACCAATAAGGAGGGCTGGATCTGTTAGACCTGGATTGTGCGGAGTGGGGAAAGAAAAACAGAAATAAGACAAAAAAAAAAAAACGTATCCATTTCCCCAAGAATGTAAAATTCTGATAGCAAACCCATCGCCTTTATCTGCGTGAATGTCGTGTTGTTGTTGTTTTTGAGGGGGGGTATTAGGGACGGATCATCATTTTTTGAGGGGACGGGCGGGTTGGGCAATTTAAAAAAAAAAAAAAAATTCTGCACAGCAAAAACTGCTGAAAAAAAATCCTGCAAGGAGAGCCATGGGCAAAAACTCGAGCAAGTACTTTCTACTATCACTATTTTGATTTTTCATGTTAAAAAATATTCTTGCACAATCTATTACCCACCAAAAACAGCAACAACAACAAGTAGCTTTATTTGCCTGACCATAAATTCATACAGTGTTGCAAAAGCTTTTGTAAAACTAAAACAGTAACGATTATTGTGATTATGACATAGCAATCAAGTTACATTGGTTTGATTTGAAAGTAGAATATTGCGTAGATCAAAGCGAGATGAAATAAAATTTTGCTGATTGAATATTAATATAATGATTTGAAGAAGTCATGAGTTCGTCAATGGCTTGTAACCAGTCTGGCTTGTAACTAACATACTTGTTTAAAAGTCGGAATGATATGTTCTATTTTTTTATAAAATTTATTTCTTACAATAGAGTATTTATTGCAATAAATAAGAAAGTGAGATTCGTCTTCAATTTGATTAGAGTCACAAATAGGGCAGAGTCTGTTAACCCATGAAATTTCAAGTTGATCATATCTAAGTCTCAATCCTTAGTCTGTGATTGCCTATCCTAAATTTCACTAGTTCTTTTCTTTCGCTTAGTTTGCTTGTTAGGCCTAAATAAGAGGAGGGTATATAATCGTTCTTAAAAGTGCTGAAAAATTCTAGTTTAGTAGAGTTTTGCATGGTATGTTGCCAATATAAAATATACTTTTGCTGCATTAGGCCAACATACTGTTTGATTTTAGCGTTAGTTAAGTACGTAAGATCCAAACAAGGGAAATTGTAAAATTCAGACATACTTATTGTATTAGAATAATAACTATTTTTACCAGGGTGACGAAGATCTTACGACATGAGAAAGATTTGTTTAACAATAGAGCAATTATTCTTACTTAGAAGCTATGAGGAGTAATTCATGATTTCCTGATTGATAGCTATAATAAGAGGAAACCTACCAAGTTCAGCTCTGCATGCTACATTGGATGCATTATTGCTTACTTGTAAATAACGTTTACAGAATTGGAGATGTGTTTTTGTCGATCTGGGAACTGTCCCAAGTCTTGAGATCAGATTTTGCATATGCACCGCCCCAGACTTCACTGTATATGTCAAAATTGGAGAGATAATTGCGTCGAAAATTTTATTCGCTAGGAATGGAGGTAGTTTGCTGAAATTTGTGTTTTCTAAGAATGAAAAGGGCGCGAAAGGCCTTTTCTTTCAATTTATCAAGTGCCAATGAAGAGTTACCCGTTGAAGAAATGAGTGTTCCCAAATAAGTGTAATTTTCAACAATTTCAACAGGCTCATTGTCGATATGAAAATTAGACTGGATACATTTCTTAGCACGTTTTTGAAAGATCATAACCTTTTTTTTATTGATACTTAACATCCATGTACCGCGATAGGATGATAGAGTGTTAAGGCAATTTTGCAGTCCTATTTTTGATCTTGACAATATGACTAAATCATCTGCATATAAAAGTGAATTTAATTTTGGGCCGTTTGGAAGGACAGAGGAGTCAGATAGAATTTTTTCAAAAGAGATCATGCCTAACCTAAAGGTGAGAAAAAAGATTCCTGCCCCAGAAAATTCCTCCTTCCGTCCCTTTAAAAGGCGTGAAAGAAGAGTTGGATGTAGTAGGACGGTAGTTCACCTTAATTCTGTGCTGAAATCCTCCTTGCCATAGACCCGGAATATGGTAGTTGTACTTTGACTCTTGCCTCAGGCAACTTTCGCTGCTAGCACGTGTAATGAACATAGCATGCTCCAAGGAATGCTGGTGAAGATCGTAAAATAAACGATATTTTTGCATGCGTTTCTCCTTAAGTTCTGGTGACTGGTACTGTTCCCATTTCTCTATCAGCTGGTACCCAGGTGAGATAACAATTTCTGGGTGGGCATCCAACATGGCCGCCACTAGGCTGTGACAGCTGCGCTGGTATCCGATAAACATCACAAATGTCTCTACGCCGTCATACAATCTGAAAAGTTTCTCAGCAGGTGAGAGAAAAGGTGTTTCCTCTGAAATAGACCAAAATCAGGTCAAGCTTTAGATGTCGGCTGTTTTAGAATTTTTTCCTTTATTCCGAGTTATAAACTGCTAAATTCTACTCAAAACGGTAAAACTAATCAAACCCGAGTCTTTCTTGGTCGTGAATACGACAAAATATGTGAAGCGTTCTTTTTCAAGTCTCCTCATCAATAAAACACTTGAATGCTGGTGGGTTTCTTTACGTGACCCTCCAAGAAAAAGCTTGTTAACAGTCAAAACTTGTTTGTGTTCTGGCACAAGTCGATCAACAAGAAAAGTCTAATTACATACGGGTAAAGAATATTCCGGCTCAGGACAGAAAATTTTTCTCGGTAAAATTTTACACCAGCGAATAAACCTATTGAAAGAAAACTTTGTGGGTAGACTATAATCTGTTGAGGCCGATGAAGCCTTTCCTCAGCGAACAGTTAGGCATCACATGGTCACTGAGAAAGGTACGCGACTAGTACTCGGCGCGGGTCATGCGAGCAGTGAGGTAGTGAGGTCACGCTTCAAATGCGTTTACCGTCCTTGTAGCATATTAGAGTAAATATCATACAGGAGGACATAACTTCTTAG